CTTTGTGTGTGTGTGTGTGTGTGTGTGTGTGTGTGTGTGTGTGTGTGTGTGTGTGTGTGTGTGTGTGTTCAGTCTGTAAGTTTGTCAGTATCGAGATGAAGTCAGCATTCGATGAGACGGGGAAGACAAAAGAAGTGATCGACAGGAACTATCGCTTCATCGACAGCAAGGGGGCGCCACCGATCAAATACGTCAAGTCGTAAGTGTGTGTGTGTCTGTGTGTGTGTGTGTGTTGTCGTCATCACTTGTGAAGTGTCTCCATTTTGTGGTGATTTCATAAAAACTAACGCAGAATAAGAAAAGACAAGTTGAAAGAACATGATTCAGTTTAGTTTTTAGAAGAAATGAAACCTGAGGTGTTAGGACAGTTTTAATACACACACACACACACACACACACACACACAGACACACACACACAGAGGTTCAGTTCCTGTGGAGGGACTTATTATAGAACAGAGAAGCTGTTAAACTGATCAGTGGTGTGAAAACAGAAGTTTCAGGACGAACGCACATGAATCTCCGAGACGTCTTTGATAAAGAAGTTGAGTTTCTGTCTGTCTGTCTCCAGAGACCTCCGATTCATCGAGGTCATAGAAAATGTGTGTCAGAGGCTGCTGGGGTACAATCTGCACAAGGAACGAACCGGCAGCAACCGCTTCGCCAAGGTCAGTCTGTGAGCGTGCGTCTGTCTCGTCCACAGTTTGTTGTTTGGATTCATCAGGTTGTGTTGAGCTGCAGTTTGAAGTCAAGATGGAAACTGTGATGGGATGAAATTGTGGTTTCAGTGTGAGTCAGTGTAAAGTTTCTTCTGTGGTCCGTGTGTGTGTGTGTGTGTGTGTGTGCAGGGCATGTCAGAGACGTTCTCCACGCTTCACGGTCTGGTGAATAAAGGCGTGAACGTGGTGATGGACATTCCCTTCGAGCTGTGGAACGAGACCTCGGCGGAGGTGGCCGACCTCAAGAAACAGGTGCGAGAACAGAAACGACCAAACGCTGCCGCTAAAATATTGAGATCTTTATTTCGTCCTTGTTTTAATTCAGAATCTTGATTTGTACGTGTGTGTGTGTGTGTGTGTTTCTCTCTCTTACTCTCAGTGTGACGTGTTGGTGGAGCGATATGAGGACGTGATTGAAGACTGGTATAAAGGAAGCCAAGAGGAAGATCTGACCACGTACCTGTGTGAGAAACATGCTCTGAAAGGACAAGACACAGGTAACACACACACACTCTCCTGTCCTCCTGCCTGTTTACCAGCTTCTTTTCCTTTCTCATGTTTTTCTCTCCTTTATTTCCCCCCCCCCGTTTACATTTGTGCTCCAGCTTGTCTGAACGAGGAGTGGGTGGCGAAGAAGAAGGGCGAGCAGGCGGCCATCGCGGAGGATAAGAAGAAGAAGAAGAAAAAGAAGAAGGGGAAGGACGGAGGAGAGGGGGGAGACGGCAGCTCGGAGGGAGAGAAGGCGGCCAAAAAGAAGAAGGAGAAGAAAGTGAAGAAGAAGAAAAAGAGCAAAGCTCCGGTGGAGAAGAAGGACGGAGGGGCGTCGTCGGACGAGGAGATCCAGCCTCAGGTGCCTCTGTCCGGGGAGAAGACGGAGCTGTGAGGTCAAAAATCTAACTCTCGCCTGACGCTTCTTCACCCGAGGCTGAAACATGTTGCACTGTTACATCGGTTTTCTTGTTTATCTCAGTTTTCAGGTTTTTAACAGAATCTCTGTCGTTCAGTTTCATGACATCATCATGTCTCTGTGGAATCTTCAGAAACCTTGAAGCGATTCTGCTTTAATTCGTCTCTGTGGTTATTTTTATTGTCTCTACTGAAAACATTCTGTTGGTCAACTCGTAAACACAGAACAAGCGGGAGGATGTTCTCACATCAACTGAAAATGAATCAACGATCTGGTTTGTTTTAAATCATTCTTTAATAAATACTTGTTCACTCTGGAGAGAGAGGATTTTCTCTGTTTTATATGAAAAAGGGAATTTAGAAACTCCAGCAGAAGAACAGCGAACATTTCTCTCCAGTTATTATAAGTAAAATATTCATGAATTATTGAAAAATCTACTGTAAATCAAAATATTAAACTGCCTTTTTTCTGATTATCTGAAAATTAGAGTCAAAGTACTGTGATGATCTTTCTTTCTTCTTTATCTCAGTTGAATCTGAGTGTTTTTTTTTGTTAATGTCTTCTGATGAATAATGTGAATTTTGTGTTTGTTGCTTTTTGCATCTTTGTCTTATCTACTGTAAAAAAAATCCATTCCAACTGAAAACTGAGATTCTTTTTTAATTTGTTTTGAAAATGTAAAGTATATTTCCAGCTCTGTGGTACCGTCATGATGAAGTGATATTTTATTGAAACATAAATAGACGAGGCTTCTCCTGGTGACACCTAAAATATTTAACCTTTATCATCTGCTAATGCAAAAAAATGATTCATGGTTTATTTCAATTTAATTTTCTGGCAGCATTAAGCTCTTGAGGCCTCAGTGAAATCCCCCCCCCCCTTTTTTTAAATTTAATTTTCATTTATTTGTGTTGCTGTAATTTTCCATTTCTCGTTCTGTTTGTTTGCTTGATGTTGAAAAGCTGCTATTTAAGGTGTGTGTGTGTGTTTCTATAGATTTGTATTCAGAAGTAAGATGCTGGCTGTGTTGTCATCAATAAACACAGGTCTTAAAAAACACGTCATACATGTGGTGTAACTTTATAATTCATTTTTTGTTGTTTTGTAGTAATTATATCCAGTCATTAAACTATGTGGATGTAATGTAGACGTTTGACCACCAGAGGGAGGCAGAGGTCTGAACTGACCATTAACTAACTTACAGAGAGAAAGAAAAAATAAAATAGAAATAAAGCAAATTATTGTTAAAATTCATTCACGTGTTCAACATGAAATAAAACCTGTTTTTATCAGTTTTATTAATCATAGTAACGAACGCAGAGTTTTTATTTAAACTATTTTCTTACAAACAGACACGTAGCAGCCTGTAGAATTCTTTAGCTCATCAATTATCCGATGAAAAGACAGTGACGCAGTAATTGATTTGGAGGAGACGATACAGGGGATTATACAGTCGGTCGAAACTTTAAATAAAAGCTCCAGTTTGTGAGTTTTTTTTCTATTAGCATCCATTCGAGTAACAGAGGTTAGAAATAATTTATCTTAAACACAATCGGAGATGTTTCAAATCCAGAACATCGTTAAACACTCGTTGACATCATCAGAAACTGTTTCCTGAGTTCAACTTTTTTCAGAATCAAAAATAAAATTTCTCCAGAATGAGTCTCTAGTGGGCGTGGTAACTGACGTCAGGGGGCGGGGCTTCAAGGGTGAAGATTCCTCTACCCATGATTCCTCACTGCAACTCACCTCCAGCCGGCTGCTAAGTAACATTAGCTTAAAATGATCTTAACTGAATTCAAGTTTACGTGGCAACACTTTTACAAAGTCCGAGACAAAATGGCGTCGAGGACGCACCTGCTCCCGCGCTTCTGATTGGAGGCGGGGACACAACACGTGATCACCACATGTCTGAGCAGGAAGAAGAAGAAGAAGAAGAAGAAGACGAAGAACACGTGTGTTCACTTGACAGGAAACGGACTTTTGTTAACTTGTTGTGTTTACAAGATGTGAGGAGACGATCTGGATCCTGGTAACTTCTCAGGACGTGACGTCATGGACCCGTCAGGTTCCTGTCGTCATCACAGGTAAGTGTCACGAGCTGTTTTCTACAAACGTGTCAGTTGTTGATATTAAAGTTGTCCGATGAATCGATTGGGGGAAGAATTTAAAGTCTAAACACATTGATCGATGAGGGAACTGATAATTAGCTGCAGTGATAAGAGTTTGTTCTGTTGCTCTGACTCCAGATGTGTTGATGCAGCTGCATCTGTCCAGATGTGTCCTGATGTTGAGATGCGGCCGCTGTGTCAGGACTGTTGTCATGTGGGGCTGTGATGAGTCTGTGTTTGTGACGCTGGTGTTCAGCATGAACTCAGAATTCTGAGTCAGTCGGTGAAGTTTTAACACAAATATCACGATTTGTTTATCTGAATTTATTTCTGGGTTTTGGACAAAAAAATGAAAATGTAATGATGATGTTTGTGGATGAAAAGATGATTTGAAGATGAGACCTGAGGTGTCTGAGGAGATGAGAGCTGGCTGCAGGATTTTATAAACTTGTTGACTCTGATAATTGATTTGATGGATTCTGGGACTTGAAGTTCTCTGGATTGAAATCTGTTTTACACAGCTGTGATTTGCGTTTTGTGTTTTTTAATGTTGTAGTTTTGGTTCATAAATAATATATCAAAAATCAGCACAGACAAATAGTTACAGTCATAATAAAATATTTTATACAAATGGGAGTTAGATGTTTATGGTGATGAGTTAGATGATGATAATGGTTACCATGTAATACCTCATACAACCTGTAGGTGTCACCACATCACTGAAGTTAATGTTTCACCTCGTTACTCACACACACACACACACACACACACACACACACACACACACACACACACACACACTCACACACACACACATCCACTTAAGCTGAGACAAAATGAAATTGTGTGTGTGTCTGTGTTTTAAAAGTGAAGAGTGAATTCAACACATATTGTGTTGCTTGTGTGTGTGTAAGAGCACAAATACTGTGTGTGTGTGTGTGTGTGTGTGTGTGTGTGTGTGTGTGTGTGTGTGTGTGTGTGTGTGAGGTGTTTATTTGTTGAATAATTCACAGCTGGGTGTTTGTAGAAGTCTTTGTGGCCTCAGAGCTCCAATAACACAGGACAAATATTTTCACACACACACACACACACACACACACACACACACACACACACTGGTTGACAGTTTATTTGGACACTGGCCAGTGAAGATGTTCAGAGAACAAATGTGGAAACACACACACGCTCCATGAGTTACCTGTGGAGAGCCTTCAGTGCCTTCATGTACACCTCATACCATCGTGATGAGGAGCAGCAGTTTGTTTTTAGTTAAAGGAGGAATACCAGCAAACAGTACTGAGCATTGTGTGGGTGTGTGTGTGTAGGGGGGGGGGATCTTAAGAGCGAGAGATGAAGAAGAACGAGATGTTTAAAGGAGTTTAATGAGATCATATCTGATATTCTCACCCTTCATGAACCAGTGGGACAAACTCCTTCGTATCTGGAGCTGCAGGGGCTCAAATCTAAAAATTTCCACGTAAACCAAATCCATTCTCTCCTTCAGTTTAGAGATGGTTTGTTGTGTTTCTATGTCACGTAGGTTAAACAACAGACAGGCTGTTCTCCTGTTCGTCACTGTGAACCAGGAGCTGACCTCGAACGCTCCATTACTCTACAGGCAAGAGACGACGACGAGGAGGAGGAAGAGACGGAGGGAGATAAAAAGCCACGAGGAAGGCAGAGAAAAAGGCAAACGAAAAGAGAAACCGACACAAACACTTAATAATTTCTTTTCCCTTGGAGTGGACAGCCGCAGCGCTCCAATTCATCTTCGTTCTCCTCACAGCGGTGTGTTCAGAGAAGGTCAAAACCCGGAAAATAGGCTACACACCAGGCATTTTGTCACCAGACACCCTTCACCTGCTTCCCAACACCAAGGAGCCGCACACAACTGGGACACGGCCGCAGCCAAAAATACATCAGGTGGAGCAGATCATCAGCAGCAGCGCTGAACGCATTTTCACCACATTCGTTCTGCTTTTACGCCGCGTTTGTTGTCCTTTGAGGGAAACGCAGAAGACCGAGACGAGGTGACATTTTGTTGCGTTTGTGTCTGTTCACATGTGAAGCGGCGCCGAGGACACGTCTCCGTCACAGGAAGTCCAAAAAGTTCAGTTGTTCCAAAACAATCAAATGATTAAAGGAGAAGATAAAACACGAGGCTGCGCTTGAGGATCACGTCACAGCTGATTATATCCCGAGGCTCCTCCCTCAAACCCGGCTCCAGCGGTAGGAACCTTCCCGGTCCAACATTTCCCAGGATTCATTGCACTTCGGTGACGGAGCGTTCTTTTCATCATCAAACCGTCTTGACGGGGATTTCGCTCACGACGGATCTCTTGATCTCAGTAACTCTGCTTGTTTTCATTGCAAAACATCCGCACACGTCCGCTGTGATTGTGTTTCCCGTGTGTCGCTTTTCCGACTTCTGCGGTTTCGTTGTTTTTATGTCTTTCTCTTTGTTGTAAACTCTCCGTTCCTTCCGCAGCAGATTTCAGCTCATAACAGACAAAATAAAACGTCGTGGAGTCGAGGTGCAGCAGTGCAGGGAGCGTCGGGTCACATTTCCAAACGCACCCTGAGCCCCGAGCCCCGCGGAGACGCCGCCGCCGCCGCAACGACACAAATGGCTGCGTGGCATTTAGAGCATAAAGGTGTGACATGCAAGCTTCACACTCACTGTCTGTCTATCACACGCACATTTGCATACACACACTGTTACAGCCGCCGCAGGGCCCGCCATTAATAACAGCTGACCTTTGCACGTTTAGGCTGTGTAATGATAGTAGAGCAGACCTGACAACGACACATCACACCTCCCTTTATCTCGTGTCCGTCCCTCTCTCCATCCTCCCTCCACTTTGTTCTCTCTTCCATCAGGAGACACGGGCGTTGGTTTGTTATTTAAACGTCGTCACATTCGTTTGTGTTTGAGGAACCAGGTTTTACTCATATTTAATTATTTCTATAATATTTCCATAATCAGTTAATACAGATTCCAGCTTTTCATACATGAAGAGTTGCAGCTTTTGTCTTTCATGTGTCGTCTTTTTAAATTATATTAAATTCTGCCGGTTTGACGAAACATCCAATTACAATTTTTATTATTAACACATTTAGAAAAAATAATCAACATTAATCAAGAATAAAAATCATCAGCAGTCGCAGACTTACAATTCATTCCTTTATCTAAACGTTTGCATTAATAAGTTCATAGATTGAATTTATCCCAAAAAATAAAATCACGTCATTTCTCTGTGACGTGTAGCGTCTGGACAGTTTTTAAAATGTCGTGTTGAAGCCAAAATAACTTGTTCATCTTCAGCTCGTTGCCACTTGTCGAGATCATCTGTAAAAAATCGGATGCGTTTCATGTAGAGTTTTATTTTTTGGTCCAAAGTCGGGCGGCTCTAACTTCCTGTGACAACTCTTCCTTTCAACTCCGTTCAAAGTGTTTTTTGTTGGCGTGGACGTTGAAAGAACGCAGCTCAGCCAAACTCTCGGTTTACTTCTCCCTTTCTTTCCCGACCGAAGCGAAAAGCTTTATTTGGATGAAAGACATATGAGAGCAGAAAATTCATATTTGCCAAATTTTTCTTTTTTTAAACGTAATTCTCTCATTTCAACTCGATCTGGTTCCGTCTCTCTCCCAGGGAGGTCGGCGAACGAGAGAAGGATGTCATCTGCGTTTTGAGGCGGCGGCGCTGTGGTCGAGTCAGAGAACAAACCAAAAGTTAAAACCGTAAGAGACGAGCAGCTGCTGTCTTTGTAAAGGTCAACGAGGAATCCAAGGCCGTGCAGCTAAAACAACATGCACACACACCGAGTCCCTGCGGATCCATTTCCATCTCAGCCGCCCTCGTTCACTGTTTACAGTTATTTTAATTCCTCTGTCCTCCATCCCTCTTTCCTTTCTCACGTTCTCTCTCAATCGCTCTCTCT